GTCTGGTCTTTCCTCTCTTTTCCATGGGGGCTGCCACCCTGCCAGGCCCTTCCATCTCCATCTCTTGTTTGCACTCTGAACTCTGTTGAGTTCCTATAGCTGTTGTCCTGATATTCCCTCTGACCTTCTCTTTTAGTCACAGGGAAGCCCAGATCCATGGTCCTCCTCATCAGAAGAGCATCATTTAGGCCACTGAACACATAGTCCTTCGCCTGATCTCACACACTTTCTTGGTTTCTTTGCCTTATTCTCCCTTCCCCGCTCCCAAACTCCACTGCCTATTTCTACCAGGATCATGTGTTAATGAATCACTTGGATGTGGGTTCGCTTTTGGAGAACCTTATCTAGGAAAACCCTTAACCCTCAACTTCTGCACATGAATAAGAAGAAATGAAACAGGAAAAAGAGCCCTGATTACAAAAACTAAGTAAGAACCTGGGTCATAGGTGGGAGTGCTGGACTGGCCTGGAGTCACCTCAGCCCCAGGTGGGCAGTTCTGTGCTACCGTGCATGGGGCTTCCAGGGACTCACTGGAGCTGGCAGTAGGTGGGGGACAGTAGATGGCACCCTAAAGGGACATTAGCCAAAAGGAGATGCAGAGACCAGGTTTTCAATATGCATAAAAGCATGAAATGCATAGGCATTCAGACCTCTCCCCTTTTCTCAAATTACTCCTTCTACATGTTCAGTAAAAATCCTGAAAAATGAACTCAGTTGGAATCTGAGGCCAAGGAATGTAGGAGAACATTGTAGTGAATAAACTTTGGGCCAGATTTATGAAGACCCAGGGAAATACACAAGAATCCAATATAATCATTGCTTCAGGCAAATCTAATTGAGAAGGCAAGTTATTTATATGAGAGTGCCAGAGAAAGACCAAAAAATCCTTAGGGCCAGTGGGAAAGAAATGTGTGCTGGAGTAGATGGAGAGAAGAAAAATAATTGTGTGAAATAGTGTAGGTCTACTGAGTAGTTCTAAATCATGCTATTATAAAATAAAAACTGGGTGAGTTTTTTTTTGTGGTGCGCGGGCCTCTGTGCTGTGGCCTCTCCCGTCGCGGAGCACAGGCTCTGGACGCGCAGGCTCAGCGGCCATGGCTCACGGGCCCAGCCGCTCCGAGGCATGTGGGATCTTCCCGGACCGGGGCACGCACCCGTGTCCCCTGCATCGGCAGGTGGACTCTCAACCACTGCGACACCAGGGAAGCCCCGTCTTTTTTTTTTTTTTTAATGAGGGAACCGGCGGTAGGAGCTGGAAGAGGGGCCCACCGGGCCCTTTAGACCCCCTAGTGGCACAGGATGGCTGCCCCACCCTGGGAGTGCCAGCAGCCTCCTTGCAGAGGCCCGAGGGTATGCCCAGGCTGCCCCCAGAGCAGGGTCCATGACACACTGGCTTAAATCTACAATTACATATATTCAATGATGACCAGCTGTACAAAACTCAAAGTTTCCTCAGTCAGCTCTTGATGAGTGGAGTTTATCCTTAAAGATTCCTGATGATGGAATGAGGACTCCCTAAGTATAGTATATTTAATACTTGTTTTCTATTGCTTTGATACATGGACAGCTTGACTGAATACGAAGGACTTGTCTACAATGAATTTATTGATTTTTAAAATAATATGGTCTCGGTTTTTATGTTCTGTTGAGATGTAGAATATAAACTTATTTCTTTTACATTGATGGCAAAGGGTGGTCTGGAGCTTCACAGGAAATTTTTTCTTTTTTTAAAAAAATCTTTTAGCTCTAATAGGAGTTGACCATTCCAGTTCTGTTTCTCCCAGGTCTCTATGACTTTCTCTCTGATCCTTTCTCATTATCTTTTATTCATTTCTATTCTGTTTGATACTTTCATTTTTTAGTTCAATGTCCCTTATAATTTTGGATAAATATCATCCCTTATGTACCTTGTCATTTAGCCTCTTTTTCAGAGAATTTTCTGTTCCTTCAGTTTTTTCTAATCTCTGCCAATTCTAATTTCTTCTTTCTTGTTTACTTCTATTTTGTGCTGTGTATTTCTTATGTGAAATTTTGGAGCTTTTCCCCACGTATTTGTGTGTGTGTGTGTGTGTATATCTACAAATGCTTTGTTCAGAAACAATTCAAATACGGATGCCATTTTACATTTTTCCTATGTTTTGTGATTGATTTTTGTGTGTGTGTGTGATTGATTTTGAAGGGAGCCTTTTAATGAGCTGAAAAATTTGACTCTCTATGTTCTTTTTTCTTCTGTCACCTTGGAATAAATGTCTGCTGTATGATTTTCATTTTAACATGACTAGGTGTACCTGAATGAGAAACTGCAGTTCTACGTAGGAACAGATGAGTGCTTTGAGTGGCTTAGTCGATTTCTTAGGTCTAGATGTCTCTGTCTTGTGTAGTTACTCTAGCAGATGTAAGGTTTTTGGGGAAAGCCATGGTGTGTCTCCTGATTCTGGGATTCTGTTTCTTCCAGTAGGATCTTTAATTTCTACCAGTTGCTTCATTCTTTTTCTTCACCACAAGCATCCAAAGGATGTTACCTTCAGCTTGGTCTCACACCTGATCCCAGTAATTGTGCCTCCCCAAGACTGTTATGCTCTGGTCCTCTGCACTGTCGAACCCCTTCCTGTCAATTCCCCAGACACCAGAGCTTTAGTCGACCAGGTCTCATGCATCCTCTGAGTTTATCCACATACTCTTTCTGTGAGTAATTTTACCAGGGTTCCCTCCTGAGTATGCCCTCCCTCTGACCTCTCCTCTATGTGCAGAGTCTTTGCTGCTCCCTCTACTGCTGTGTGGCTCCCAGACCTGGGTTAAAAACAAACCAGTTGGAGTCCACAGTGTACTCTGGCCCCTGGTTGTTTGGGGCAGGGTTTTGAGTAGTGTCCTTGACTCTCTATGTTAGTCCCTAGCCCTCTGAAATGCATGTGGAGAGATTCAGCTGCCATTATCCTAGGTGGGCCTGTGCTCTCCTATCATTCTTTTTCAAATGCAGATTTTCAATAGTACACAAAATAGACAGAATTATATAACAGAATATCCCCATCTTTGTCAGCCACGATCAACAAATACCAACTTATGGCTGAATTTGTTTTACTATAATCCACTCACTTACCTTTTCCTATATTCTTCAAAGCAAATCTCAGACATCACATTTCATCTGTAATTAGTTCAGCATGTTTCCCTAAATGAGGACTCCTTTTGAAAGTATTATCGTCATAGCATTACAATTTTCATAAATTAATTCAAAATCTTTAATATCATAAAATAGTGTTCAAATTTCCCGTTATTGTTTTTGTTAGTATTCTTTCTTGGGATCCAAATAAAATCCACAAACTGTAATCAGTAGGATATGTGTTTAAGTCTTTTACATATGTTTCCCCTCAGTTTCTTCCTCCCTCCCTTCCTTCCTTCCTCCCTCTGTTCCTTCCTTCCTCCCTTCCTCTCGCTCTCTCTTGCTCTAGCTCTCTCTTGGTCTTTTGCTGTCCTTCTTTTCTTTTTTTTTAATCATTCATTTGTTGAAGAAACAGTTGTTTGTTCTGTAGCATTCTGACAATCTAAATTGTATAACTGGGTGTACTTTAATCATTTCTTCTGTCCTCCATACTTTCTTTTTGGTGGTAGAATCTACAGCAGTGCTGTAATGTAATGAAAATGCAAGTCACATATGTAATTAAAATTTTTCTAGTAGCCACAATGAAAAGTAAAAAGTATAAGCACACAACAATACAAATATAATCTTCTACATAGCTAATTAATACTACACATTAAAGGAAATATAATTCTACCAAAGTTTTAAAGTTGTGTTTAATAGAAGAATATTGTGCATGTCTTCAGCTTTTAAGTTTACATTCACATGAATTATAAATTAAATATAATTAAAATCCACTTCCTCAGTCCTCCTAGCCATATTCTAAGTGTTCAACAGCCATATGTGTCTATTGGCCCCTATTTTGGACCTGGCAGATACAGAGACTGATGAGATTCACGTCTGATATCTTGGCAAGAGTACCTCAGAAGTGGTGTGTGCTCTCTGATCAGGAGGCACATCAAGTTCTCTGTGTTTCTTCAAATAATATTAGCAGCTCTTGGAGTTCAAGGCCTAGATCCATTAACTGATTATGTGGAGCAAAAGTGTGATGTTCCATCATCATGTATTATTTAACTGGAACACTTGTATAAAAAGCAACTTCCCCTAAATACTAAATACTGTTTAGTTATTTAGTGGTACCCTCTGTAAAGAAAACTGTAGCTTAATGAGCAATTCCCCAAGCATCCTCTGTGGTCACCAGCTGGTTTATTTCTCTTTTTTTTCCCCTGTGCTAATATGAATTCAAAGTTTCAAACACATTGAAGTATTTCAATTCATGGCAATATAGTCTTTACTGATACTCCAATTATCCTCTCTTTCAGTAGTGAAAGTGACTTTAAGCTGGCTCCTTCATCCTTTTGATAAGATCCTAATAGTCTTTGAGAACTTTCCTGATATCAGTACGACAAGGTGCTTCTGTCTCATCCTGAATATTTTCTGCCCCTGACCTGGACTCAGTCATTTCTCTAAGAATCTCTGGTTTCTTTTTATGCAAAACGTTATTCCCAAATCAAATTGTGTAACCTAAAGATACTCATTGGAATTGGTTTCTTTCTGGACGTTTCCAGTGGACAGAGCTAGGAAATACTCATGTTTGTATTTATGTATTCACATATATTCACATTCACAATTCAAATTCAGAACTACAGGCTTTTTATTGAACGTCTATCTTTCATCTGAATCTCTTTTCTCTAATACCAGTATTTTTGTTTTTAAGTACACTGGGCGTAATAGAAATACAATATCTTTTACAGTCTCCTTTGTTTTCTCCCGCATTATACAGACAAAAGAATAAAGAACTACCAACAATGCCAATAATAACACAACTGAGAAAAGCAGTTTTAAAAATTTTGTCACAGTCCTGGGGTATATATAAATTATTGTGTTTTATGGTCTTTTCGGAGAGTTCTTATCCATATGCTTGTTCCACAAAAGGCATACACAGGTTCATTTGTTACATTGTGTTTTCAATGTCTAGAAGTGACATTTAAAAGATTAATTTAATTTGATAATGATAAAAAATGAATGTGGTTTCCAACTCAATCTAACCAAACAAGGCATATTCACTATAGTCTAGCCTTGACTTAAGATCTGCAAGTGTCTCAAAGGCCTGGGTGGAGGTGGGTCAGGGATCCCTGCTCTCCTCGGACACCGGAATCCTTGGCCTTCCTCCTTCTTCTGGCAGAGCTTGGAATGAAACGACGAGATTTCCTGGAGTCAAGGTTCAAATCTTAGCCTAACAGCGGCTTTCCTTGTCCAATTTAGACTTCGGAGTGAGAAATTCTGAAAAAAATCGGTACAAAATGGAATAGAATCAATTAAAATTCGGAATAAGGTAGGGCACCTGAATACAATACAGTACTTCCCATCCAGGCCTGGAATCCTCGACCCGAAAGCTAAGACGCTGTCACCCTGGCTGCTCAGCGACGTCACAGCTCCGCACCGCGACCCTTTTACTCACAGGGACACGCTCGCAGTTAGTTACAAGACGTGCGGTGCGAAGCCCCCTCGCGGGGCAGGACGCAGTGGGCGCAGCCTCTGTTTTTTGCCCCCGCGACCCAGGGTGACCCAACGATGGGGTGCCACCGGCTCGGTCGCTGCGCGCCTGGCCCGGGGCCTCCGATGGCCAGCGACGGGCAGAGTCGCCGGGGCCCAGCGGAGACGCCGTGGGCTCGTCTCCGCACCTGCCCGCCCCGTCCGTATGGAGCGCGCGGACCGCCCCTCTCCGGGACGCGGGAGTGGGAAAGCACGTCCCATCTGAGGAGTAAAAAAAATCCCCTTCTTCTAGTTAAAGAGAAAGGTCCCACCGAGATTTGAACTCGGATCGCTGGATTCAGAGTCCAGAGTGCTCACCATTACACCATGGAACCCTCTGCCACCTACTCTGCTGCTCCAGCCACTGAGCCAGGGCGCACACAGCCCCGCGGACCCAGGAGCGGCCTCCCGCCGAGCACTCTCGTTATCCCGCCCCGAACCTGCGGTGGCAGGAGGCGCCTGACTCGCGTGCCCGTGGCCGTCTCTTTTAGGTTTCTACCTGGTGAAAAGATACGAAATCCATTCTAAACGAACGATAAGGAAATGTGTTCAGGGCTTCTCGCCAGTCCACCTGCGCTGTGAGCGATCCTAGTTTTTTCTCCTGAGAAAATCCTCGCCCGAGAACACAAAACTTTTTTCCCATCTTTTCCCAGTTGCTCTCTTCCCGCTGCTCTGGAAGGTCGGAACATGCTCAAACAGACTTCGAGACGCCGTGAGATGTTCTTTTTTTTGAGATCGCTGGGCGCTGCCAGTTTCATTTAAGCAGATAGTGTTCTACTTCTGTTAATATCGGATCGCAACCGGAAAACGCTTGATTACATGATAGCCAGCACCTCCGCTGTAATCGTGTGTCAGAAACACACTGAAAACAAATTCCGTGCAGGAAAATGATTTATCATAGGGCCGAACAGAAAAACGCTTCTACACCGCCAGAGTCCACGATAGTAAGAAAGAGGGGGATGAGGGAAACAGGACGGGAAGCATATTGGCGACCTGAAAATTACACGCAAACGATAATCCGCACCACCCACTACTGCAATGTAGAAATTAAAAACGAAGCGATTATAACTTCACACAACTTACTTTTAAATTTGCTTAACATAAAACTTGTTTTGAGCTTATTTATTTACTTTTGTCTGTGTTCGTTTCTTCTTTCTGTGCGCGGGTGTCTGCAGTATGAGAAAATCTTCTCTGTTACTGGAAAGTACAGACTTCAAACACGGAAGTTTAGTAGCTATAGCTAATGGGCCTTGTTGTTCCGCAGTGGCTGGGTGATTTTACCACAATTCCAGTGTCTGCTTTTCATATCACTAAGCACATTCTTAGTTTCTAGACTCCGAAAAAACAGTGCAGTTCAAGTGATTATGGTATCTCCTTTTAAGTTTAACTAGTTGGTTCTTTTTTTACTATACCAATTGCTGGGGGAAAGCGCGCACGCAGTCCCCCACTACCACAAATTATGCAGTCGAGTTTCTCCCATTTGGAGAAATCGCAGGCGTCAGCACACTCGCAGTGCAATGAGTGAGCCTCGTCCTGGGAAAACCACCTTAATGATCATGGTATCTCCCCTGCCAGGTAAGTATGAATTGTTTTCCCCGCCACCCAGTACAGCCTTAGACTGCTACACTGTACACACACGCTCCCCACCCACCCTCCGCACCCCCTCCTCTTCCACGCCTCTCAGCCCCTCCAAACTACTCTGCTAATAAAATCCAAGCAACTCTGCTAATAAAATCCAAGCAACTTCTCCGGAAAACTTCCACAGCCCGGGAAGTGGCTCGCGAGGAATTGTACCCATAAGCTGCAAGATTTACATAAGCCAAGCCCCATTCCTGACCGCTTAGGCGGCTCCTCTCCTCCAACCCCCGCCCTGTCCCCGCCCTGCCGAGATGACCAATGGGCGGGCCGACTGCTGAAGGGGAAGTAACGTCACCATGGCCGCCCACTTCGGGAGCCCACCAAGCCGAGGTAACACGCCTCTTATCCTTTATCTGAGATAGAGCCGGATTTTGCCAGCCTCCTCGAATTCTTACCTTTTGTCCTGCGTTACACGCCGGGGAAAGGAATTCTGGGATCGTGTGTTACGCTGATCCAAAAATTTTTTAAGTAGTAAAGAAGTTGTAAAACAATGGATACAAGTATATATTTATGTATGTGTTTTGTGTATAAATATACAGATTCAGGGTTACATCTCAGAGTGCTACTCGGTGTATCTTCTGTGCACGTCCTTCCTACTTCATTCTCATGGTATCCCAGGGACCATGTTTTTCCTTTCCCCACCATACAGAATACAAGAAATGAAGATTCTGAAAAAGAAGCTGATGACCAAGGGATGATAAGGGATAGAAAGATGACGTGTTTGCTTGAAGAGTGAGGTTTGTTTGTTTGTTTTCTCTTACTGGGTAAGACTGGGTTAGACCTGAGGGCGGGGAGCGGGGAGACTGCCGAAAGCAGGCAACTTGTGTTTTCAGACCAGAGAGCAAGGAGTGGCGTAACTTAATTCTTGAGGGTGCCTTTTGTTGTAGTTTCTTAGGACAGGGCCAAAAGTAAGCTCATCACACGAGATGAATTGTGCCAAAGCACAGCAGTAGAGGGCTGCCGCTCGCTCAGGCAAAACAGCGCCGTCTGTCCTGCTGTGGTAACTTTTATTAAAGCATTATCTAGGTTTACACTTTAAGACTTGTTTTCTTAACATTTCAGAAGTGCCAAAGCAGCAACCTATGTTTTTATTAATTATACAAGCAATAGTTGGCTTTCGTGAGCACCTGCCGTGCTTCGTCCTTGAGCGCAAGAACAGCACAAAGTTCCCACCATTATTTTGATTATACTGAAGTAGCACAAGGACATTTCCTTGCGTTCCCGCCACTCTGATTATACTGAGGACATCTCATGCATCAGTGCCCAAAGCACTCAAAGCTTCTTTTGCAGGCCCCCGGTTTGCCGGGGGGGGGCGCTCGAAGCATTCAGAACTGTTCACAACTCTGGCTTATTCGCAGGCCCCCAGTTTGCCGGTGGGGGGGGGGGGGCTCAAAGCAATCAGGACTGTTTGCAGTTCTGGCTTATTCGCCAGCCCCCAGTTTGGTGCGGGGGGGGGGCCTCATGGGTCACGTCTCCTTTCCATGTCCTCAGTTATCCCACTACAGCCTTTGGCTTAAGGGGGAAGCTGACTCTTCCGGAGAATCCTGGAGCTGACGGCAAAGGAACTCAGCACCCAGCCAACTTCCAGGAAGAAGCTTCCTTTCTTCCCCCTGCTTTCCCTCTTTCCCCTCCTTTTCCTCTCTGCAGCCATCAGAAATAAGCTCTGGCTCGTTTCATCTGAAACATACTTTATTCCAGGGATAGTAATAGCTCAGAGAATCTCCAGCAAACTGGAGAACCAGACTGTACAAACAGGGAAGAATAAGAAAGGCCAATGGAAGGGAGCACACAGACCAAATGGGAAGGACACTAGTGCTTCCTGCTGAGTGACAGGCCCTGTAGCTTTGCACAGGTGACACTACTGGCCCTGGACACTAGACACTGCCAATGGCTCCATGACTTCTGCTGCACCTGGTCGGTGTTAAACTAAGGATCTTGAGGTAGGGAGATTCTTCTGTTGCAGGGGACAGAAAAAATTTCCCCAGGGCTTACTCCTTGTGTCTCTCAACTCCTGTCAAATGCTGGAGTAGTTGTTGCTGATGGGGATTGGCCAGCTCTTGGTAATAGACCCACACCTTAGCCCCTAGGAAAACTAAGTCAGCGAGTGCGTGATCCTTAAAAGTTGCAGAATGTGGGAAGTTTCTCATACAAACAAAGGGGGCTCAGATACTAGATGGCCTAGATATGACAAAAGACCCTCCTGTGCCCAACACCCTGCAGCCAGCCCTGTGGGGAGCATTATAAATCCAGTTCTGAAGCCCCTGCTACCCTGTCCCAAACATACACCCGTGAACACCCAATTTTGGATGGTGTTAGACTTTTACCCTGAGCACAGGGTGAGGGTTTCGACTCCTTATATGGTGATGGTTGATATATCACTCAGTATTATTTACATTATCTACACTGAGAATTGAAAAGTTTGAAAGTTCACATTTCTGGGGATAGAGTAATTGTTCTAAAGCCATGGTAACAAATAGCCACCAGAACTGGTTTTTAAATCCTCTCTATCTACCAGTGTCCACTGTAGGAGTTTCCTGTTGCTATTGTAACACATTACCACACACTTAGTGGCTTAAAACAACATGCATTTATTATCTTATGGTTCTGGAGATCAGAAGTCCAAGATGCATCTCACTGGGCTAAAATCAATCTGACAGTGGAGGTGAGGTTCTTTCTGGAGGCTCTAGGGGAGAATCTCTTTCTTTGCCTTTTCCAGCCTCTTGAAGATGCCCACATTCTACTCTCACAGCCCCCTTCCATCTTCATAGCCAGTCACGGCTGATCAGGTTATTCTCAAAACTCATTATTCTGACACCAAATCTTCCTCCCTCTTTCACTTATATGGACTCTTGTGATTCCATTGGACTCTCCAGGATAATCTCCCCATCTCAAGGTCCTTAATTTAATCACACCTGCAAAGTCTCTTTTGCCATGTCAAGTAACATGTTCACAAATTCCAGGGACCAGGATGTGGACATCTTTGGGGAAGCGTTATTCTGCCGCCACAGCCAGTCTCCTCAGTGAACACATTTCTGCAAACATATCAGTCAGTGGTGGCCCCTCTCTTCTGAAAGTCAGCCAGGTGAAAGCAACTGAGTCCACTGCCTTTGAGTGTCAGCCAGTCAACAGCTGTGCCCCGTGTTGAGGCGTTTGAGTCAGAGAGAGAGAAGGAGAAAGTCTGTGGGGAGAGGAATCTGAGGCCCCAGTGCCTGGGAAGTTCCCAGGGACCAGAGCTGAGAGCTGCAAATGCCTTCATGGGAGGAGGAGGCTGGAGAGGGTGTTAGGAACTGAATGTATGTGTTCCACCACCCGCCCCCCAAATTCATATCTTGAACCCTAATCCCTGTGGGGCTGTATTTGGAGAAGGGGCCTTTAAGGAAGTAATTAAGATTAAATGAGGTCATAAGCTTGGAGCCCTGATCTGACAGGATTAATGTCCTTAAATGAAGAGAGCCTGGGCTCCTGCCCTATCCCAGCTCAAGCAAGGAGAAAAGGGCATGTGAGGACCCAGCGAGGCATCTGCTATCTACAAGCCAGGAAGAGAGCTCGCAGCAGAAACTGAATTGGCAGGAACTTTCAGTCTTGATCTTGGACTTCCAGTCTCCAGAATGTGTGAAAACAGATTTCTGGTTAAGCCACCCTGTCTATAGTATATTTTTCTGGAAACCCAAGCTGACTAATACAGATGGTCGCTTAGCCATTGGCCTAAGCAGCTTCTCCTACGTGGTCCTTTCTGGGATCTGCCCCAGTTTTGTTCATTTCCTGTAATTAGCACTCACCACCTGCTTTGCCCTTCTTAAGGGTGATCCATGACTTTGGAATGAGGATTGATCACCTGGTTTAGGATTTCAATAGCATAATTTGCTCCATGTAACAATGACCTGCACCAAGGATCTTCTTAGATTTTTTTTTTTTTTAAACAAGTTTGACATCTTCCCAAATTTCAACCTAGCATGACTTGGACAGCTGGATTGAGATTCTGCAGAGTGACCCCATGACCCCATGTGGCCTGCATTTCCTTTTCTCATGAGAGATTTCCGTGCTTTGGACTCTCCAGAACCACAGACCAGGGTTTGGCTGCTGGTGAGGAATCTGTGCCTAGCTCTGGGGAAACCTAGGGAGAAAGGAAAGAATCCCCAGAATCAAGGCATGGGAGGCTGCTCTTGTGGGGATAAAGGAGTCTGGAGGATGAGAGAGGAGGCTGGGGTGTGAGTGTGTCCAGCATGAGGTCAGGGGAAGTTCAAGAGAGGGCAGCTGCCATTCTGGGACCAGAGGCTAGAACCTCCATGGCATTCACACTCTGGTCATCGTCCTCCTTATTCTTCCTCAGCTTCCGCCTCCCCCTTCCTCGCCATCCTCCCCTATCTTCTCCCCAGGCTTTTTTGTTCCCACTTCTTCTTCTTGTTCCTGCCCCTCTTGCTCCCATCCTCCCATCCCTTCTCCCCCACCCCCAGAGCAGGCCAACATGGGAAGGGACTGCCCCATTCTGAGAGGACGACGAGGGAGTATCTTCCACCAGCCTGAGAAACACGAACACATTGCTCTCTGGTCAGAACCTGGTTTGGAGGAGACAGAGCAAGATGGCTCTGCCTGAAGAGCTCATCCTCCACAGCCAACCCAGACAGCATGGGCCTTAGGCCGACCCCAGGGATGTGTGGCCAAAAGTCAGGAAGCTCTGGACATGGATTGCCGACATCTGGTCCACAAGATTCCAGACAAGTTAATATCTTGGTGCCTGCCTTCTTTACAAGGCAAGTTCCAAGGGAAGGACTGTGGCTCCCCTTCCTGGCCGCCTGGCGAAGGCGCACAAGGATCCCTCTGTTCATGCAAGGGTGGGTCTGAGAAAACCCTCCCATCTGTTCCACAGAGACCAGCTGAAAGTTCATAGTTAGAAGTTAGTGGCAACCCAGGTGCACCGACTCCACCACCACCTTCACCTCCTCCACCACGCACTCTTTGTCTCCGATGAGATTTCTACCATCAGAGTCAGCCTTGGAGGGGGGAAAAGGCCAGATTTTGGGAAAAAAAAGATCTAAAGAGACTAGTACTTGTGCAATTTTATGGACAGCAGTGAAGCACTTCTAGGGTTCTAAGCTGACTTTATCTTGATTCACTGGTCTAGATTTTGCCTTCAGGTAGTGTCTTATTTTAACTAAACTTTGTTGAAATTAGAGAAGTTCTTTTTTTCATAGTTCCAATATTAGTTGACATCTGAGTTAATAGTTTTGTGACCAGCAGAATAATACTGTCTCCCCCAGGATGTGCCTGCTGTAGTTCCCCCACCTGTTCATATATTACACCACATAGGAAAGGCAACTTTGCAGATGTGATTCGGGTAAAGACCTTGTGATGAGATTATCTTGGACCATTCAGGTGGGCCCCATGAAATTACATGGGGCCTTAGAATTGAGAGGCAGAAAAGGTCAAAATGGTGTGAAATTAGAAGGACTCTACCTGCTGTTCTGGTTTTGAAGTTGTAGGAAGGGGTCAAAAGCCAAGGAATGTGGGAGGCCTCTAAAAACTTTTTAGGGAGGCAAGGAAAGAGATTATCCCTTAGAGCCTCCAGAAGGTAAGGCAGTTCTGTTGACCCCGTGATTTTAGTCCAGTGAGATCTTTGTTGGACTCCTGAGCTACAGAAGTGTAATATAATAAAAGTGTGTTCTTTTAAGACACTAAAGTTATGGTCACTTTTTACAGCAGAAATAGAAAACCAATTCAGTAAATGTCTAGCATATTCACTTTAGCAGTAATAAGATCTGGGAGATATAATAAACCCTGTATAAATTCTGCATGTTGTTTGCCTGTCTTAGGTTGACAGATCGAGAGATATTTGTACATGTTTGGGCTTCCCTGGTGGCACAGTGGTTAAGAATCTGCCTGCCAATGCAGGGGACACGGGTTCGAGCCCTGGTCCGGGAAGATCACACATGCCGCGGAGCAACTAAGTTCGTGTGCCACAACTAATGAGCCTGTGCTATAGAGTCCGCAAGCCACAACTACTGAAGCCCGTGCGCCTAGAGCCCATGCTCTGCAACAAGAGAAGCCACCGCAATGAGAAGTCGTCGCACCGCAATGAAGAGTAGCCCCCGCTCGCCGCAACTAGAGAAAGCCCGCGCAGCAACGAAGACCCAACGCAGCCAAAAATAAATAAGTAAAATAAATAAATAAATAAAATAAATTTATTTTAAAAAGATGTTTGTACATGTTTGAAGCATTACATTAGGTACCTGCCGTCTTTCTTCCTTTCCATTCTTTTCCTAAAGGGCTCACCCTATTTCCTGCACAGGACCCGACATGGTTCTCATTTGAATTATGGCAAGTTGGAAGACATTGGTGGTCATGCAGGTTGATTTTATTTTTAAGAATGAGTTCTGTTTCTGACATATAGAGGAAAAGAATGTAAGTTATGAAAAGTTAAATATTGGAGAATCTTCCATTCCAAAGATACGTTTTTTGCAACTTCTTTAATAGGGTAAAGAACTACATTTCAAAGGGTGAAACACAAGAATGGCTATTGGGAATTTTCCCCATAAGTAATTTGTGACTTGATCCTGACCAGCTCTGAGATCTGTATGATTCATGTTGTTGCTTTCATAAATGTTATGTCCATAAAATGAAGTTCTTAGAAGCAATATTTGAGTTCACCTGATTTAGGAAGAATTGCTGGGATGCTTGAATAACCGCAGGGCAAGAGGCCCTCAAATTTTCCTACTTTGTCTTTAAGTAATACTTCATAGTTTGGCCGACTTTTCATCCATTCTGCTGATTCTGTCAGTGAGATCCTCTTTATTGACAGCCAAAGGCACTCATGGAAAATGTTTAAACAACCAAGTGTAAAAGCAGAGGTTGAGGTCACTTCATCTACTATGAAAGTGGGGCATGTCTCTATCTTAGACCAGAGTCTGTTGATGGATGTGTTTGTTATTGTTGTTGTTGGTTGTGATCATGGTTGAATTTTTTGTTTGTGTTGTTTGTTTTAATTTATTATTACCTCTAGGGTATAATTGTGGAAGGATAGCTTTATTTTAATTCTGGAATGCAAAAGAACATAACTAAGGTCTTTTCCCAAAGGAAGATCTTAAGTTCGTTATGTCAACATTTACGGTGTGACTTAAACACTTTTCAGTTAAAGCTTCTTAATTAAAGGAAAAGAAATATATTTATAATTTTGAGTCAGTGTTATCGAGCAATGTGTTTTAAACTGTGATCTGTAGCCCACCTGCATCAGAAACATCTGCTTGTGTTTATGTGAAATATGTAGACTCAAGGGCCCCACGCCAATGAAATCTCTTGGGATTGGAGCCCAGGAGTAGCTTCTATAATCTCCACAGCTGATTCTAAGGCACTCTATCCTTCATATTTTAATATTTTTGAATTGAAATTTTCAGACTTGTCTTTTGTCTCTTTGCGGTACACAGGCCTCTCACTGTTGCAGCCTCTTCCTTCGTGGAGCACAGGCTCCGGATGCGCAGGCTCAGCGGCCATGGCTCACAGGCCCAGCTGCTCCGCGGCATGTGGGATCTTCCCGGACCGGGACACGAACCCATGTCCCCTGCATCGGCAGGCGGACTCTCAACAACTACGCCACTAGGGAAGCCCTAAGGCACTCTAAATGTAAGAACTACCCTTTTATATTTTTAGACTGGAGATTTTTACAAAATGACAGGAGAGTAAATCATTCTTTTAAACTTAGACTTCAGTCATTAGACAGTGAGGTGAGCTCTTAGTGCCAGTTTGTCTTTCCTATTCTCACCTGCTCAGTCTAAGGACTGGTGCAGAAATGGGAAACAAAATAGGCAGTGAAAACTTTTTATTTCTTTATATGCATTTCCCTTTAATAGCCACCAGAAAGACTTTCATTTCCTCACACTGACCCTCTCTGTCAGTTATGTTGGCCTTTAACATATCACTATAGCAACACATATAAATATATATTATACATTTATACACACATAAGCACATTCTAAGCACTGTGAAGACACAGATTAGGCTTTAGCACAACTGGGAACCTCACACATGTCACTTAAAAATGATCATTGGTTTGCTTTACACAAGACTTCCAATGAGCTTGGTGTGGCCATTAGTCCCCAAATCACAGAGTGAAGTTAGGATGACAAAACAAGACAGCATACTTAGAGAGACGTCAGTACACTTCTTGGAGATCATAAAAGAATAGAAATAGGAGGTCTAGGCTAAGCACGAGACGGCATCTGGGAGTCGCTGCTCTCACCACGTGGATTCAAAGAACTCAGGTGCTGCAGTGTAGACCGACACCCAGCCTGTGACCCAGCTGTGCTGGCCCCGGGTCAGGTCGTGGGGCCCCTGCCAACACTGTCCTGCAGGGCACCGCTGCTCAGTCCTGAGCTTTTCGATCTGCCGTGGAACTCCAGTGTGGGGACCACATGCTCCATTGCTGGGAAGCAGGTCCTATTTCCCCTGAGTTGACCCTCAGGATGAGGTGAGGAATGTGCTGTTGTTGGTTCCCAAGCCCCTGGGGCGTTCAGAAGCAGTGCCACAAGGTCCTCTACAAACTATGCCTGTTTTGCTTAGTGCTGGGCCCGGTGGACCTTGGCTGGTTATTCCTCAACTGCAGGAGAGGCCCTCTGCCTTTCGCCCTGCCCCACCAGGCCACATCTGTCTCCTTCCATACCCTCCAGCAGGTGTGGAGGAGTGGGGCCCAGATCCTCCTCAGCAGACAGGGAGCTGTGAAGAAGGGGGGCAGCCCATCCTTCCTGCAGTTTTAAGGACCTCTGGTGGCTTCGCTTCTTGCCTCTGATGGCTCCTGGAAGGCAAGGGTCACAGGACTGGAGTGCATGGCAGAGCCCTTAGGGATTTCACCTGGAGGCCAAAATACCACAGTCAAAGTAAGACTCCATTATCAGGCACTGCTGGTGGCTAACTGAGGCTGGAGAGAGATCTGAGTGGTGACAGAAGCCAGGAGCACAGTGAGAGCCTGTCACAAGGATGAGCTGAGGGGACGCGCTGAGGTCTGGAGGAGCAACTGGGGCCACCAGGTTGGAGGAGAAGCTTCCCACCACCTCCTGTGGTCTTATCTCTGCTCAAAGCCACTGCACACCAGGTGGCCGGATCCTACCACTCCCTCTTCAGGGGCCAGTTCACTCTCCAATTCACTTTGGAGCAAAAGGATGGCTTTTGCAATCTCCCAGGAAAGGAAATGCTTAGTATGAAACAGGCATATATAGAAGCAGCCTGTTGTAGGAAGGAGAGAACATTTTGCAGGGACGTCCTCCTATTAAAGTTTATGTTCTGTTTACGTGATGAGGAGGGGGAGAGGCCAGGTCAGCAGGGACCTCAGAGATCATCTAACTCTAGTGCCCCCTCTTACAGATGAGGGTGAGCAGGCTCACAGAGACTGGAGCCAGCCAAAGCCACACAGCCACTTAGCAACAAGCCTGGGATTAGATCCCAGGCTTGGAGCCTTTCTAGTGGCCTAGGGGAAGTAGAGAGGAAACTTCCAAACTGGGGAAGCCAGGAGGTATGAGAGGTTGTTGGGTTACCTTTGCTGGGAGAGGAATGAGTCTTTATAGAGGCAATGTTGTGAGTGTTTTTCTAAAAAGGCTCAGGAAAGAAAGGAATCATCAGAGGAAAAGGTAAGGAATTACACACAAAAAATCATGGCCCAGCCCCTTTTCACACTGCGGGCTCCACATTCTCTGAGGAACATTTAGGAACATTCTTAGGAATATGCTCAATAGCTTATGGCAAAGCTTTAAAGTCCAAGGTAAAAGTGTTATTTTCTGATTTTTTTCTTTTATTTTTAATTGAAGTATAGTTGACATACAATGTTATGTTAGTTTCTGGTGTACAGCACAGTGATTCAGTGATATATATTCTTTTTCATATTCTTTTCAATTATGGTTCGTAAAAGGAGATTGAATAGTGTTCCCTGTACTATACAGTATTACCTTATTTTTTATCTATTTTTCTGCTTTATTTATAGTTTGTATCTGCTAATCCCAAATTCCTAATTTTTCCATCCCCCACCCCCTTTCCCCTTTGGTAACCATAAGTTTGTTTTCTATGTCCACGAGTCTATTTCTCTTTTAAATAAGTTAATTTGTGTCATATCTTAGATTCCATATATAAGTGATATCATATGATATTTGTCTTTCCCTTTCTGACTTACTTCATTTAGTATGATAATCTCTAGGTCCATCCATGTTGCTGCAAGTGGCATTATTTCATTCTTTTTTATGGCTGAGTAATATTCCATTGTGTATATCTACCACATCTTTATCCATTCATCTGTTGATGCGCCTTTAGGTTGCTTCCGTATCTTGGCTATTGTAAATAGTACTGCTGTGAACCTTAGGGTGCATGTATCTTTTCAAATTATAGTTTTCTCTGGATATATTCCTGGGAGTGGGGGTCACTGGATCATATGGTAACAGTGTTTTTAATTTTTTAAGGATCCTCCTTACTGTTTTCCATAGTGGCCACACCAACTTAATTTCCACCAACGCTGAGAGAGGGTTCCCTTTTCTCCACATCCTCTTCAGCATTTGTTATTTGTAGATGTTTTAATGATGGCTATCCCGACTGGTGTGAGATGGTACCTCATTGTAATTTTGATTTGCATTTCTCTAATAATTAGTGATGTTGAGCATCTTTTCATGTGCCTATTAGCAATCTGTTTGTCTTCTTTGGAGAAATGTCTCTTTAGGTCTTCTGCCCATTTTGTTTGTTTTTTTTTGTTATTGAGTTTTATGAGCTGTTTGTATATTTGGAAATTAAGCCCTTGTCAGTTGCATCATTTGGAAATATTTTCTCCCAGTCCATAGGTTATCTTTTTGGTTTTCTTATGTTTCCTTTGCTGTGCAAAAGCTTATAAATTAGATTAGGTCCCATTTGTTTATTTTTGCTTTTATTTCTATTGTCTTGGGAGATTGACCTATGAAAGCATTGGTATGATTTA